TAACGTGTTAATTGGTATTTTATCATAACAGTTTCTTGGTATTAAATCAACAGTAATTTACGTTAGCGTTTTTAACATAGACTCAAAGTTCAAGTAACGCTTAAAAGGTTTACATCAAAAACTGGCACCAATATCATCACATTTTAATCTATTCAAAAACTTAACAAAGAAGGTTTACGTCAAAAACTGGCACCAATATCATCACATTTTAATCCATTCAAAAACTCAACAAAGAAGGTTTACGTCAAAAACTGGCACCATATCCTCACATTTTAATCCATTCAAAAACTCAACAAAGAAGGTTTACGTCAAAAACTGGCACCATATCCTCATATTTTAATCCATTCAAAAACACAATATGGAACCAGATTTTCGAGATTACACACTGTTCAATAATTCTTATATTTGAATAATACATCATAAGAATTCAGAACGGCAACTTTTCTACCAGGCAGTGTATTTACTTATTATATAATTCGTTTCCATCTTTGTCTCACCATAATGTTTCTGGAGGCTGTAGCAGACCAAAGCCTCTACGTGCTTTCTCCATGACATTTGTTAGTGTTGATTTAATGTCTGGCCTAGAAGGTGGTGTTTCTAGGTTATCATGTAACGCCCAGTTGCTACTCAACTTATTGGGTGTTGTCGTCATAGATTGATTCATGGGTGGGCACGAGGATCGTTTTGCCCCCATAAATTTCTTAAGAAAAATAATGCTAGAAGAGCTTTAAGGGTAGTAGAGTAGAAAAATCCAGCTTTGCATGAAGAAATAAAAACGAACCACTCAAACACACAACAAGAATCTGTTGTCAGTTGATAAGTAATTCATTTTCTTCCGCTACAGCGAGTCTGGCACTTTCAACCAAATGATCAGACCATGCCTTTTTTTTTCTTCCCCGCCTCTTGGTAACAGTAACAACGTGGCACCATTTATATGCCAAAATATTTAAGAGACGACACGTGACAAGCCTAACACTAACAACAAACCAAAGAAACTTCGAAGATCTCCCGTAAGTTATTTTTTATTCTAGAGGTAAACTGTTAATGATGCCACAGCAACTGGAGGACTTCATTCTTTCGACCCAAGTAAACTGTTAATGACGCCATAGCAACTGGAGGACTTCATTCTTTCGACCCAAGTAAACTGTTAATGACGCCATAGCAACTGGAGGACTTCATTCTTTCGACCCAAGTAAACT